GCTTATGGTATAGGGTGCGAAATGACACTTTAGCCAAAGGAAAATGTAATACATTTGATGAAAAAATGTAATATTTTTACATCAAAATGTAAAATATTACATTTTCATCAAAAGTATTACATTTTCTCATATAAGTAATAAATATTTTATTCCTAATCAGGGCCAATTTTAGATTTTGGTGGCCCCGTTCTGGTAAATAAATAAGGCCCTACCAAAATCACAATCTTTAAAATCAATACCGTATTTTTTTCTAATAATAAGGTGGTGAAATGTTGCTGTGCGCAAAGAAAATAATAATAATAATAATAATAATGTGCGGAACTCGCAATGCAAAAGGATTAAAAAAAAATGTTCAAAATTGGAGCAACACTTAAGCTTCAGACCTTTAACCTGCAAGTTGAAATACAATAAGCACATGTTCCTACCACTCTTTCATGAAGCCTTTTAAGTTTAATTGAAAACTTTTAGTTTTTATTTCCAAACTAGCTAGGTAAAAATTAAATATTGGACCCTCTAAAATTTGAAGGCCCTCTAAAATTTAGGACTGTGTACGGTAGCTCTGCTTGCCCATCCTAAAATCCGACCATGTTCCTGATTTAGCATTACATTTGTTAGTATAAATATTACATTTCATTTTAACCCAACTCTTTCTTAATAGACAAAAATTTGTAAGACCGTCTCATCCAAATTTTTAACCGTGTTGAATACCAATCATTTTCATAGTGGATATCCCAATCCCACTCACTACAGCAAAAGTGTACCGGCAGAGATGACATTTTTCCTTCATTTTCAAGTTCCAACTCACTCATTTCGATCATATATTATATATCACTCAATTCCATCCACTATTAGCAAGATTCACTTCAGATTTTTTTTTCCTTTTTTTTTTTCGTTTTTGTTTACTCAAAATTATCATGTATTTCTTTTCTTATCAATAAGTGATGTTGAATATATAATTTCTAACATTTAATTTTATGATTGACAAGACCAGTGTGTGTGTATGTGTGTGTGTATATATATATATATATATATATATATATATATATATATATATATGAAAAAGTTCAAATGCGACGGGACCTTTCCGTGTGGCGGTGCGGCGGAGTTTCAGAATACAACAGTGTTAATGAAATGCATCAACAGTGAAATGGAAACGCGCCACAATGAAATATAAAAATACACCAAAAAATACACAACACACTCAAAAAAACACACCATATAACTCACCACGCCCCTAATAGTGTATTTCCGAACACTGGATGTGTTTTTACTCACACCTAATGGTGTGTTTTTTGTGATGAGTACTTAATTTGTGTGTTTTTGTGGTGCATTTCCTAACGTTGATGGTGTATATTTGCTTAACTATTGGTGACGCCGCACTGCCGCACGAGAAGGGTTTGCCGCACCTGAATTTACCTATATGTGTGTGTGCGCGAGCACACGTGACACACATGTGAGAGAAATATTAAGTTCAAATAAAAACTAGCCTTTCTTTGAGAATTTACATATTAACCGATTAAAATCAATTTAGAATGATTAACGATTATAATATATATATATATATATATATATATATATATATATATATATAAAAGATGTGAAATTATTGTAATTGCACTTATTCCATGATGCAGAAGAATTAAGCGAAATCCATATATGTGAAATTATTGTAATTGCTCTTACTCTATGATAATGTAAAAGAATTAAGCGACCAAAAAGAATCAATGCATTGTCAAGATCCATCATCATTTTCATTTTCTTGTGATAAAAAGTGGAATTGTCCTTTTGAGAGATTGCTCCCACACTGTTACTAGTGAGACACATATTCCGAATATATTTCTATGAGTTACGATATTACATCTTTTAATATTTACGATATTTTTAATGTATTCGAAATATGAGTTACGATATTAAAACACAGTGATATCCTTAAATTGACCAATAACAAATGAAAAAATCATTACACATATCGTAACTCGTATTTCTATGAGTTACGATATTACATCTTATGATATTTATAATATTTATAATGTGTTCAAAATATAAGTTATGATATGTGTAAGGATTTTTAACGGTAAATTAACGAAATTTTTAACGGAATACTAATGGTGGCAATCAAATGAATGTCATGGATGTAATATGGCAAAATTAAAAAAAAAAAAAAAAGACTAAATGTGACTACACTACAATAGTCGAGGATTGCAAGTGAAAATTAATAATAATAATAATAATAATAATAATAATAATAGAGCAAATACCAATTTTAGTCCCACGAGCATTAGCAAAATTACAGTTTTGGTCCACATGTTTAATTCCTACCAATTTTCATCCAAGACTATTGTTTTAGCAACCATTATTGCATGGACCATGGTCCACACAATTGTATGGACCATAAATAAAAAGTACATTTTTAATATACTAAGGGTACATTATTTATGTACGTAAGGTACATTTTTTAAAAGTACATTTTTAATATATTAAGGGTACATTATTTTATATAATGTACTTTTAATATATTAAAAATGTACTTGATATTCATGGTCCACACAATAATTTGTCTTGTTTTAGTGTCAAAATTTATCACGCTGGTAACTCTTTCGTTTAAGACATGTCGAAATCTAAAATTTTAAGGGTATTTTCGTCATTTTCAACTTAAGATCCCAACTTGAGCATGAATAAAGGGATTTAAGCCCTGTGATCGATCTCAATTCGCAGTTTTCATCTTCATCCTACCTTAATTTGAGGAGGAGAATTGCGAATTGAGATCGATCCGATGGCTTAAATCATTTTATTCATGTTCAAATTGTGATCTTAATTTGGAATGGACAAAAATACCCTTAATAATTTCATATTTCGGCATGTCTTAAACGAAGGGGTGACCAACATGATAAATTTTTGTACTAAAATAATAGTCGTGGATGAAAATTGGTAGGAATTAAACATATGGACCAAAAATGTCATTTTGCTAATACTCGTGGGACAAAAATGGGTGTTTTCTCAATAATAATAATAATAATAATAATAATAATAATAATAATAATAACAACAATAATAATAAGGGGCGGTTGTGGTGGTAATAATAATCCGAAAACTAACTTGAAAAGAGATAAGAGAGAAAATAAATATGGAAAAATACAATGGTATCCGGTTGCTCCTAAGTGGGAACCTTAGTTGAGGCAAGTAGTGTGTATATGTAGGGTATCCCCTTCTTTATAATAAAAAAAATATATAAAAAAATAAAAAATCCAAAAAATGTCTTCCAACTAAAAAATAAAAATCTAGGAAAGCATTTTCAATCAAATTGAGTATTTTCTCCATTGACCATAAAAAATATTTTCTTTGACTTTATTTTCCTTAAATACCCAGACACGAAAAAATTCTGAAAATGACTTCCGAAAGTCATTTTCTGGGTTCCAAATAATGGACCCTTAAATAAAAATATAAAAGCATTATATATCTTTATCCTGCAATATTTTATTACTTTCAAAAGTAGACCATACTTCGACATCATCAAATTTACAATGACTTATTATTTTTTCATATATATATATATTTTTTCATATATATATATATATATATATATATATATATATATATATATATTCCAATTTGAAAGTTGAAACCAATGGATATATACATAGATCATATCCAAAACCTGTATATATCAAATCTGAGGTTGTTCTAGAAACGTGTGTACCAAACATAGTATTTGCTGGAATTGGGGTATATATACATGTATGTATACGTACATATTTGAGATGACACCAAAGCTGAAGCATATGCAGTTAGCTGTATCATTTTGTCCGTGCTTGACCGCAAAGTTAGTGCCTACTGTTTTGCTCTTCATTGTTTTCTGTCTTCTCATGTTGAGTTCAAATATTATTGTATCCTAAATATTTCTATTCTTTTCAAAATAAACATTGATTACATTTTGTAATATGTTTTCTCTTTATTTAAATTAAATATGTCTAAAATTTAAACCAAGTTTATATCATACCAAAAATTTCATGGATTATATTATATTATAACTAATAAACCTCTCAAATAATAATAATAAAAAAAACTAATAAACCAACTTGGTTGGCTTGAGTGGTCTGTGGTTGTGCAATTTCATCCTTGACATCCTCAATTATAAATTTTGCTTGGTTTTTTAGAGTTTGTGGTTGAGGTGGAAGAAATAAAAAATGGAGAGAGAATCAAAAAGTGAGGAAGAGTTATTTTTATCTCAAAGGTGGGCCCCACAGAATGAATATAAAAAAGAGTTACTATTGGTGCGCGTTAAGTGCATCAGCAACGCACATGCGCCCATTGGGCGTGTTGAGGGTGGTCGTCAATTCTTTTATTTATTTATTTTTTAATTTATGACATAAAGCCCATAAAAATCTACACAGATGGAGATGCTCCTAAGAGAAGTTGAGAATTCAAAACCCTTGTCCATTAATTAGTCCTCGGTGCAAACGAGAATATAGCTATGGGATGTTCTTGTAGTTTCTCTTCATTTGATTCTTTGATGCGACTATGTGAGACTTGTGGAGCGCTCTCGAAAATTACAAGTTTGATATGTGTTGCACGTTTTGAAAGAGTAGAATATGACTCTCGTATTTAAATGTTATATGCTTGATTTTTGTCTAAACATAGTACAATAATCCTGTTTGGTAAATGGATGTTAGCTGTTAGCTGATTGAGTTAATAAGAGTGTAAAACTAGTTGATAACATTAGCTCATTATAGAAAGGTGTTTGGTAAATTAGTTGTTAGCTAATAACTGTTTAGTATAATTTCTTTTATCAAAAAGTTAATTGAAAAAGTTATTTTGAGCAATTTTTTAAATTTTTAACATTTTGAAGTTACAAAAATCTAATTAATCAAGCACTTATGAATTTTTTAATGATAATAATAGTCAAATAAATCAAAATTAATCTATAGCCTAACTATTTTACCAAAAATACCAATATCTCTCTCAAATGAAATAGTCCAGTTACCATCGTGACTAAAAAAAACAGGTGTCGCACCAACCAGATTAAGATAGAGCATCAATGGCATAGAGCCACAAAAGAATATGCGAATTTCTAGTGAAACATCATATGATTACCGAGCAAAAGCATATACCATGAGCCGTGTTTTGGCGTTTGCTTGTTGAGCTTCGGGTTCTAAGCGACTGTATCCATTGCTCCAGCAACCTCAAAATCTATACAAACTCACCATAAAAAGGTCGACGATGGCGACAATCTCCATGTCCGTGACGTGGTCTGCTTCTCCCCTAACCTCGCCGAAACTACGGCGAGTCAACCGGTGAGTCTGTCTCTCTCTCTCTCTCTCTCTCTCTCTCTCTGTCAGTCAAATCACATTTTGCTGTTAAAAAAGCTAATTATAAGATGAAAATAAAGAACCCAGATAAGAAAAATGCAATCTTTGGGGCTTTTCTTGTTTTTATTTGAGAAATTGCTCGAACTGATAGGTATTCTAGAATGGCATTTGCGAGTGGGAACAAGGAGAGCCCTTGTTTTGGCGTGAAGGTTACTGAAGGGCTTGGGAATTTGCCCAAGGTTGTTTTGACTTCTTCTCCTGGAAGGTACATTACTAATTTGAGTTTAATTGTGTTATAGTTCTTGCTTAATTTCATCTTATTTTCATAAATCAAACGTTTTTACTATTACATTGATTACTGCAATGTGATATTATGGTTTGCTGGCTATGTTTCTTCTCCTGGATATTAAGTTGCAACTTTAAGAATGCACTTGTTGGTGCCTTGGTTTATCTGATTCTTGAAATTTTGCAGTGAGGCGGAGCTATATTTGTTTGGAGGGTGTATTACATCGTGGAAAGTAGGCAATAAAGATCTCCTTTTTGTTCGGCCAGATGCTGTATTCAATGGGCAAAAACCGATCAGGTTATCCTTTTCTGCTCTTATTCCCCGTAATCAAAATGTTTAATTTCACTTGAAAACTTTTAGTCTGATAACCTCTCTGTCATTTCTCATTAAAATGGCGAAAGCTTTCATACATTCGTGATTACTGGGAAAATAATGTTTAATGACTTGTTATTGCTAAAGGATCTCTGGGATTTTCTGTTTCTTAGGCTTGAATTCTAGGAGAGATTAGAGATGTGAGATTCACCAATATACCAAGTTACTGACAGTTTCCCATTGGCACAGTGGAGGAATACCACATTGTTTCCCGCAGTTTGGACCTGGTCAAATTCAGCAGGTAAATCCACTACAATTGTTACGATAGTTTCAAACTGTGGTCACTTTCTCAGTGTTAATTTTGACTCTTAAGGATGCTTGTATTGCTTACAGCATGGATTTGCAAGGAATGTGGACTGGTCGCTTGTTAATTCTGAAAATGTCGAAGGAAATCCTGTTATTACTGTCGAGCTGAAGGATGGCCCCTATAGCCGTTCTATGTGGGATTATAGTTTCCAAGCTTTATATAAGGTTAGTGGCTTGATTATTTATCCCTTATGCTTGAAGTTCACAACTTGGAATTTATAGTCGGTAGATATTCTAATTGCAAGAACAGGTTCGGTGTCTAAATAATAACATACTATCATGTTATTTACTCCACGTATGCCAAACCATTTCATGAATGGAATTTCTTTCTCAGGTTACTCTGGGTGAGAAGACACTTTCTACGGAATTCAGAGTTACAAATACTGACCAAAAACCATTTTCTTTCACTACTGCCTTGCATTCTTACTTCCGTGTAAGTAAACTTCTGTATAATTGCAGATGATTATTAGAGGTCGTGCCATCTGCACAAAGCCTGAAGGTTCAAAGTTTCTGTTTGGCAGGGTTCTATTGGGAGTGTGTCAGTTAGAGGCTTAAAGGGTTGTAAAACACTGAACAAACATCCCGATCCTAAAAATCCTGTGGAGGGTAGCGAGGAAAGGTCTGTATCAATATCTCAGCAAATTCAGAGCAAAGAGAGTATAGTTGTTACCTAGGCTAATTATTTCGTGCTTATTCTCGTTATTTCTTTTATTTCATGGTTCAGGGATGTTGTTACGTTTCCTGGCTTTGTAGATTGCATTTATCTCGATGCTCCTAATGAGTTACAGCTGGATAATGGTTTGGGTGACACAATAAGCATCAAGAATACGAAGTAAGTTAATGCAAATTGGTGACGAGAAAGGAATAGTGGACGAGACAAGAATTTCCCTTCTTTATTGAGACTCAACATTCATTTAACTTTGCAATTCCATTTTTATGTATAATTCAAAGTCCTTGCTAATGTTGTCTAGAAAACACTTATTATAGTTTTGGTGCGTGCCTATCTACTTTGTGCAGTTGGTCGGATGCTGTTCTGTGGAACCCACATCTTACAATGGAAGCGTGCTACAAAGATTTTGTTTGTGTTGAAAATGCCAAGGTGAGAGTGGCACTTGATGATTCTTTATACTATTTCTGCCTTTATTTCACTACTTAACAATTTGGAAATTTTGCCCGTGCTCTACCCGAGATTCCTTAATAATTTTGGATGACGAGGGAAACCCGCGGCCACTACCTGAGAGTGTGCACCGGGTAAATCCCGCATTGTGACCCTAGCTGACCGGGTCAAACCAAGAAGGCCAATAGGCCGCTCCCATTGGGAGTTAAACTTGGAACCCTGTGGTTACCAAGCCAACAACCTGATCAACTTGGCTGGGTTGCCCCTAACATTCCTGGAAGAATTTTGAAATGCCTGAAAGTGTCATTCATTTAGTTTTTGTATGTTTTTTACTCTGTTTACCTCAGATTGGACAAGTTGAGTTAGAGCCGAACCAATCCTGGACTGCTGTGCAACATTTAAGTGTTCCTTGAAGAATTGCGAGTATAATTCTCAATTTTGTTGTAATGCTTTCCTAGATTTTTCCTCGATTTGGACAACAATGCAAAATGCAAATAAAGGTGTGCATCAAGCATAGCCCTTCATGGTATATATAACACGAGTATTTCTCCATTGTTGTCATGATGATTCATAGAACATAGAACATTGATATGATGATCTTTTATTGCCTAAAGATATCGTAGATTCTCTCAAGAAGCTAGCAAGCTAATGAGGCATACCAGTAAGGTGATAGCCAGTACAGCAAACACCCAGTGCAGCCACTTCTTCTTCTCCCTTTTCATCTGTTTAGCATAGAAAAGATTGTTGGTTCCACCATTGATGAAGCTTCCAGCAGTGGAGACTGCCCGCTCGATATTGTTCATCTGTTCACCCTGAGCTTCAACCATGACAGCCATGTCGAGGAACACTTGATGGAGCTTATCCAGACTCCTCTGAATATCCATCACAGCTTCATGCCTTTCCTTGTTCTCCTGTTTCATTTCTGCTTTCTGTTCAAAGATCTGAACATCCTCCCTTCCCAGAACCATCTTCTCTATCACTTCTTCACTGGGAACCTCTCCTGTTGCATTGTAGTACCTTCTCCTTAGATCTTCCTTGTACCCCAGGACAATTTTCTGTCTCAGAGCCAGGAAATCGTTCATTATGTCCCTAAGCTTGACTCTCAGTCCATGAGTGGTGGAAGCTCTGATTCTATCAACTGCAGTTCCTTTTGCGAATGCCACTGATATTTTCCGGTTTCCCAGGTTTGATTGATCCAGTTCCTGGAGTTTGGTCTTGACAATCTTGGCTTTCCTAAGAACAGCAACCATGTCTGAGTCCATCCGGTCCCTGAGGCCGCGATAAACCTTGTCACTGTGGGTGGTTTTGGTCTCTTCATTCAGGGATTGAAGATCAGACAGGAGATCTGCCCTTTTATGTCTGTCTGTATTACTTCAACTTGTTGGAAGAATTGGGAGAGATTACAGGCATCTTCATTGCTGAGTTGCCCTAATTCTATGTCTCTTTCTTCTGGTTCGATGTCAATTCGCGCCTGTTTCTTCAGTTCCACATAACTCAAGAACGATTTGGTCATCAAATCATTCATTTTTCAGAATATGAACCTGCAATGGATCCAAGAAAACACCATAATCAAACACCCTTTTAAATAAAGTTTCTGAATTTGAGAAACCATACAGGAGAAGTGATGATGAAATCCATTGATGTTCATACCCTTCAAGATTCAGAATCGGAATACGCAGAAATTCACAACCTGAAAACGAGAATTAACAATTTAAGGAACAAGAAATCGCAGATTAAGGTTTTGATCAAGGAACAATGATGCTTGTACTGTACAAAACAAATGATCTCAAGAAAACCATAAAACTTACTCAAAAACCAACACTTCCAAAAACTCCTTCCAGATGAATGAACTATGAAGTAGATTATGTTGTACACTTGCGGTTGGCACTATGAACAAATGATATTCTGTGTTTGAATATGAAGAACTTCTCCCAAATATGAAGAACTTGAGGAGGTTATAAGGAGATGATAGGATTAAAAGCCTTCAGTTTCAAATATTTGAAATCATAGCCGTTTAACCCGTTTTAACCGGTTTGTTATTTTTATTCACTGCAGGCTAATTATTATTATTATTATTATTATTATTATTATTATTATTATTATTATTAGTATTTGTCCCGTGCGATGCACGAAAAATATGTTATAAAAATATATCCTATATGAGGTTTATTCATATATAAAATTTTTGTTATTTAATAATTATTATGTGTGAATTCCTATGATAAAATTATGAACATAAATATATTTACAATTAAAATTATATTTAAGGTGGGTGATTACTACAAATCTTAAACTATATTAAAAACTTAGTACATAGTATTTAATATTACAAATTTTTAAGAACTTAGTAAACTACAATAGTAATTGAATTACAATTTTAGAGTCACTACGGACCAAAATTTTTAGACCTTTGAGATTTCTAACTCTAGATGTAGCAACATACAATTGACCTTTAAAGACCAAAATCACAATCTTAGTTCGAACATTGATTTTTTCTTCCAAATACTATCGAATTAAGTGTGTAATCAATAAAAGATGAGAACTAATAATTTGAGAATATAATCTTAATGTTACTAAGCCTACTTCACGTCAATTAAGTTGGAGAGTGTTGTTGGATAGTATCCGATGAATCCACGAATAACGCATCTTTGTCTCCGTAGTCCTCAATATGCACATCAACAATCTTAAATATTAGGCCGCCTAGCTATGCCATATATTAATTTCAAACTTATGAACTTTGGGGTTGCATGCAATAAAAAGTATATTTTAAATATACTAAGGGTACATTATATATGTATGCAAGGTACTTTCAATATAAAAATAATGTATTTTTAATATAATAAAGATGTATTTGATATTCATGATCCATACAATTATGTGGACCATCGTTCACACAATAATTTGCCAGTAGAAATTGAAATATATATATATATATATATATATATATATATATAAAATAAAAAATTAAAATATTTTAAATTATTTAATATAATAATATTTTTGAACTTCCATTAGTCAAGTATTTTTATTATTTTTATAGAATACAAAATTACAATTAAAATTATAATTATAATTATAATTTTGTATGATTAATATAATCTCTAATTATGTGCATATTCAAATAAATTTATAGAGAGAATTTACATAATTACATTGATTTATTCTTAATTGTATTTCATCTATATTATAATTTTCACAATACGAATAATAACTAAGATAATTACATTTGGAAAGCAAATTTCAAATTTTGTATGTGTAAATTTAAACTCTAATTGAACACATTTTTTATATGATTATATAATATATAGCTATTTTATTTTTCAAAAGTATATTTTTTATATGATTATATAATATATAGCTATTTTATTTTTTAAATGTTGTGCTTCTTTTCAATTATTATTATTATTATTGTTATTGTTATTATAATTAACAATATTATTATGGTCTTGTGAAAATTCAATGTTAATTATCACCATTTAATTTTCACAAGACCATATGGCTTTATTATATATAGGATTATTATTATTATTATTATTATTATTATTATTATTATTATTATTATTATTATTATTATTATTATCTTGATTTTATTATTATTACTACTATTATTATTATTAGAGCAAATTCTATTTTTTGGTCTTCGACTATTGTGGCATTGTCGCATTTAGTCATACTCTTTTAATTTTACCATATTACATTCTTGACTTTAATTTGATTGTCACTAGTGATCCTTCGTTAAAATTTCCGTTAAACTATAAGGTCAATAATGTAATTTAATGAGGGTTGGGTTCAACCTTTTGGAAGAATAATGTAATTTAATAACTTGTCTCAAATTCAAATTACATTATAGAATATTTAGTTGTCAAGCTTAGGCAAATTATTGTGTGAATCATGGTTCATACAATGTTATGTGGACCATAATAAAAAGTACATTTTTAATATATTAAATGTACATTATTGTTGTACTGTATGTACATTATACAATATAATGTACACTCAGTACGGAAATAATATACATCCCTTGAACACAATGTACACTATTTTTACATCCCTTGAATACAAAAATAATGTACATCCCTTGAATATAATGTACATTATTTTTGTATTGGATGTACATTATTTTACACTATACAAAATATGGTCTATACAACTTGTGTGGACTATGGTCCACACAATATGATTGAAGCTTGTGGCGGACTCATTTAATATTTTCAAATTAACATTCTAAACTTTAAATTTTAATAAATTATTTTATTTACACTAATAAATATAAACTTATATTTATTCAATGACTTCAATCAATATAAACCTCCATTTCTAAATTCCAACTAAAAACAGTTAATATATTCAAACTATAATATAATAATTATAATTTTTTTTTTTAATTTTTCATAAAAATATTTTATTTTGTAATAAATTTATTTAAATTTTATTTACAAATATAATAAAAATTACTACTAAAGATGAATAGATAAATTTACTATATAGTTTGTTCAACATCACTTGTGAAACAAAGAATAGCAAATGGCTTTGGCTATCACCTATCAGGCTAACCCACTAAATTTTGAGCATCGAGCTTATCAGACTAATTTTTTTATTGAGCCAAAATTTCTTAGCCCTAACTCTAAAATTTTTTTGACTTATCAGGTCATTCTATCTGTTTTTGGCTAAGATTAACATCCCTAGTTCTAATTTCTTTCCAAAATTTTTTAATGAAATGGATAAATCAAAAGAATATCTTTAGAATTCTGATTTACAGAAACCATTCATGAGTGGTACTGAAATATACAGGCTTCTGAAAACCTCATACACTAACAAGGGCAAATATAAATTTCCTCTTGCATAAAAAAGAAAAAGAAAAACTTCAAAAACTAGCAAGCTAAGAACAACCCCCTTCCAGTTGTGTAAGGGGCCACATGAACTGTACTATATCTGAACTTCAGGATGAGTATTCCTGAGCTTCTCAGCTTCAAGTTTTCTCAGAGCCGAGGAACTCAGTTTTTCTCCACTTGATTCTTCAGAGACTAGGTCCACAACTTCAATCTGCAGAATACGCTAAAGAATGAGGCTTTTTAGTTCAATAAAGCAACCTAGATGTCTCGTATCAAGAATGGTATATATGCAATTGTCCCCGAGACAGACCTTTAGTTGCGAGAGACCTTTCTCAGCCCTCTTCTTATTGACAGAGATTCCACCTGGTAATGTCTCCTTGCTATCACACAAATGACATAAACACATTTCAATTATGCTACACTTATACTTGATCAACAACATATAAGAAAGATGCGAATGGTGAATTGGTGATCAAGAGCAAAGAGAGAATATTCATAAACAGTACAGAAATCTTCTCTATTCTTCAAAAGCATTCACGAGTAGAGAAACAGAAGACTACGTATAACTGTATAAGTGAAGGTTAACAAAGTTAGAAATGGAAAGATTAGAAGTAAGAACCTGACAAGAATAGCCTCCAAATTCTCATCAACTATTGAAGGGCCATAAGGATCCACAATAGGTTCTGCATGTACAACCAGCTGTGGCTTGATAGACTAAAA